AAAAATAAAATTAGAGGAAAATGCAAAGCGTGAACAAGCGGAAACATACTTCAGTTTGTAAACCCGTGTCATATTCATACACCCACTAGGGAGCTAAGAATGGATGCCACTCCTTGTTCGGTGGGGCTGGATTGAGGAAGCCCCACAAACCTCTGTGTTCAGTGTTCCCTCTAAGCTGAGTTAGTGTGAGCTAGCTCACAGTTTTTTAGCCTCTGGCTCACACATTTTTGTCTTCGCTCAGGAAGGATGGCTCCAGAGGAAACTAATTTATGCGGCAGCCAGACTGTTTGCTCACAACTCTAATGCCAGTAGTTCACAAAGTAGAATTTTTGCTCACAAGACTCCATAGCTTAGAGGCAGCACTGGTGTTCACTATCTTAAAATTCCCCTTCTGGCCCTAAGCTCGCTGTGCGTATATTGCCACTACGTTAGCCTCTGAGGGAGACTGTACAGTTCTTTTCAGTGGTGGCACCCTGACGGTGGAACACCCTCCCTAGTAAGGTGACAACATTGGGGTGGTGTGTTCTACTAGCAGAGGAGATGCTCTTCTCTGGCAGAAGCAAACTCCCCCGACACGAGACACTCACATCACGGGACGGTGCGTTCTCTGGAGAAAAGCACTTCCGCCAGCGGAAACGACCCGCGGGACCCAACCCACTGATACCTTTTCTGTGCCAATCTTTTAAAAACGACTGAGCCCTTTAATGAGCGCGTTCTTCCCTGTTCCCTTTTAAGTCATTTATGTGGTTTTTAATAGATTTTTATCTGGCTTTATTCGCCTCCGGTTCCTTGATTACCCTGCTTGGTTACGGCATCTTTTATCTCCTCTCCCGCTGCACTTTGCTTCATTGACGTGTCTCCTTGCTTCCTTGCAAGTTGCTTGGAGGGCTTCTCGAGCACAAAAGCGGCCTACTGCTCTCTCCCCCCCCCCGCCCCTGCCAAATCAAATCAATATCTAATCTATACTGCAGTTTCATCCTGCCATTCCTCCAAGTAACCCTCCAGACTGGCATTTCTCATTCTCCGTTTTTCTCCGCAAAGCAACCCCAGGAGGGACGTTACCTTGAGAGAATGACCAGCCCAGGTGTTGGGTTTCATAATACCCAACACCAGGGGCCCCCAGTGAGTTTCACAGCAAGCAGGAATTTGAACCTGAGTCACCGCAGGCTAGACAGGAGGGCCTGGTGGGATCTGGTCCATGGGGTCGCGAACAGTCGGACTCGACTGTGCGACTGAACAACAACAACACCGCAGGCTTGATCTGAAAACTGTAACCACCATACCACACTGGCTAAATTCATACGCGCGTAGTGAAAAACCATAAAGCATTTCAAAATGAAATGGACTGGCTTTATGGAGGGTCTCAATGAATGTCCTGTTATGCTTTATGGTGATGGCGGGCAGTGTTCCCCCTAAGCTGAGTTGGTGTGAGCTAGCTCACAGTTTTTTAGCCTCCAGCTCACACATTTTTTTCTTCGCTCAAGAAGGAGGGCTCCGGAGCAAACTAGTTTACGCAGCAGCCAAATTGCTTGCTCACAACAACTTTCATGCCAGTAGCTCACAAAGTAGAATTTTTGTTCACAAGACTCCACAACTTAGACAGAGCATTGGTGGTGGACAGTGCCATCAAATCGCAAGCAACTTATGGTGACCCTGTACAGTTTCCCAGATAAGACATGAACAAGATGAGCCAGTTTTGGTGTAGTGGTTAAGAGCACGGACTCTAATCTGGGAGAACCAAGTTTGATTCCCCACTCCTCCACATGCACCTGCTGGTGTGACCTTGGGTCAGTCACAAGTTGTTTAAGCGCTGTCCTCTCACGAGCAGTTCTTGAAAGAGCTCTTTCGGCCCCACCTCCCTCACAGGGTGTCTGTTGCGGGGAGGGGAAGGGAAAGGAGATGGCAAGCCGCTCTGAGACTCCGAGTGAAGGGCGGGGTATGAATCCAATCTCTCCTCTTCTTCTTCAAAGGCGGCTGGCCATTCCCTTCCACTGCATAGCGACCCTGGCCTTCCCTGGTGGGCTCCCATCCAAGTACTAACCAGGGCTGACGCTGCTTAGCTTCCGAGTCCTGACGAGAGATTGAGCCAGCCTGGACCGGTCAGGTCAGGGCACGCTTTATGGCAACTTGATGTGAAATCACTGTAATTGCAATAATTATATACTTTATTTCCCCCCCCCCCCGGCCCCCCGGGCTTTAAGAGTTTTTCCGTTCCTTTCTGTATTCCGTGGGACCGTGACCTGGATAGCTCAGGCTGGCCTGATCTTATCAGATCAGCAGGGTCGGCCCTGGTCAGTATTTGGATGGGAGACCACCAGGGAAGGCCGGGGTCACAACGTGGCGGTAGGCAATGGCAAACCAGTTCTGAATGCCTCTTGCCTTGAAAACCCCTACGGGGTTGCTCTAAGCCGGGGGGGGGGGGTGGCTTAGAGCAGCGGGAATCGCCTCCATCCAACTTTACTCAGGATGACAGCCTTATTACCCAAGTCTCAAAGCCTCGGGCTACGCAAACAGCAGGATGCTAGGTAAACACCTCTCCCCTGGGGCGGCCTTTGCCCCCAGAGCAGAAATCGCTTCCCGAGAAAGGGCTGAGCAGCAAACAATGGCTGGTCTCTAATGAGGCTCCTGGTAATTAAAACCTTGCACCGGGCGTGGTCTTTGAACCAGCCGAGAGGGCACGGCTCGGAGCGGATTTGCCGGGCTAAAAATGGCCTTATTTGGGTGTCTGTCGGCTCCTGTTGCCTGGCTCAGAGGCCCGGAGCCAAGGGGAGATCTCTGTCGGCAGCAGAGCGATGCATTAGTAAAATTAGCCTGCCCGGGCTGAGCTTCAGATTACACGGGGGTTTTACGAGGTAGCTCAGCCTGTGAAAATAACCTCCCGCAGGGAAAGCCCTGGCGCGGCCCACCAGGCCATGGCGCATCCGACTGCTTTCGTTCTACTCGGAATGGCCAGAAAGCGCCTGCCGTTAAACGGGGCTTCTCAGTCCTTTTTCAACCCCCGACTGAAGTCCACCATCTCTATGTGGACCAGATCAAGTGGGCCTCAGAGATCTACCGACACCAGCTCTGGAGAGTGTGGGCGCAAACAGACAGTGCAATCTGATTTAAAGTACTGTTCTTAACTGTTTTGATATGATTATTAATGCATTTATTGATGCATTTATATACTGTGATGCCGAATGGCCCTGTCGTCTGCCCCGAGCCCACTTGTGGGGAGGGCGTAATATAAATCCAAAAAATAAAAATAAAACAAAAAAAAAAGCTGCAATTCTAAGGGGACTGTCCCCTCCCCCGTGAAATATTTCATGGCCAGAGAAAACCACCTTTTAATGGTGTGCTTTCATTGCATGATTGCAGCTATAGTACTGCAGGGTTGTGTGTGTGGAGCTGCGGTGGCTCAAGCGGTTAAGCTGCTGAACTGCAGGCTGTGGAAGGTCGGTAGTTCAGCAGTTCGAGACCCGAGTGCGCCGCATGACGGAGTGAGCTCCTGTCTCTAGTTCCAGCTCCTGCTAACCTAGCAGTTTGAAAGCAAGAAATTGCAAGTAGATAAATAGGTACCGTTTCGGTGGGAAGGTAACAGCGTTCCGTGCGCCTTCGTGTTTAGTCATGCCGGCCACATGACCACGGAAACGTCTTCGGACAGCGCTGGCTCTTCGGCTTGGAAACGGAGATGAGCACCGCAACCCTAGAGTCGGATTCGACTGGCTTTCGAGCAAGGGAGACCTTTACCTTTACCTTTTACTGCAGGGTTGTGTTTTTTAAAAAAAATTATTAATTTATGAAATTTTGACACTTCCTCATCAGAGTCTTGCTCGAGGCGGCTTACATTAAAAAAAAAAAAAAAAAGAGTAGTACAAGTAAAGGGATGGCTCTGAGCTTCCTGAACCGACGGTCAGAAACCGAAACTCCCAGAATGAGAGAGCAAAATGCTAATTCGCAGACTGCAAAAAAGAGAGCTGTCCAGGCAGGGGTTTGCTCGCAAGCAGCAACCTGGAATCTTTCTGTCCCTTTTGTTCGTTCAAAGCATTTCTATCTGGTGCTCCCTTCTAGAGTCCTCAAAGCGGCCATCAAATTAGAAAACCGAATGCAATGCCATGATCTGTTAAGAAGAGCACGTGAAAACTACATGGATAAACCTTCAAGAAGTGCGCACTCCCTCACACACAAAAAGCCAAGAGAAGGAGCAAGAAGAAGAAGAAAAGAAGAGATTGGATTTATACCCCGCCCTTCACTTGGAGTCTCAGAGCGGCTTACAAACTCCTTTCCCTTCCCCTCCCCACAACAGACACCCTGTGAGGTGGGTGGGGCTGAGAGAACTCTGACACAAACTGCTCTTTTTCAAGGACAACTGTGCCAGAGCTTGTGACTGACCCAAGGTCACATCAGCAGGTGCAAGTGGAGGAGTGGGGAATCAAACCCGGTTCTCCCAGATTAGAGTCCACACACTTAACCACTACACCAAACTGGCAAGAACAATAAATGCTAGAAGAAATAATAAATGACATGGAGGGGGGGGGGGATTCCAGCAATATGAGGGGATGCTGACCAACCTTGCAGGGTTGTTGTAAGGACTACTGACATAACATATCTAAAGTGTTCTGAAGTGCAATCCAAATATTACTGCTAAAAATGCCATCTATGGACGTTTTCTTAATTATTAAAACCAATTCACATCTTCCAAGGCAAAATCCTGGTGCCTAAAAAGAGATGCAATGGGCTAAAAGATGGTGGATCACTCTGCAAAACCTTCACCAGACATCACTTTTTATTGATGGGACATCACTTGCCTGACATCACTTCCCAGTGAGGGAGAAGAAACAGACCACACTGGTTTACATGGAACCGGAGTCAGCTATGCTGGGGCTTTACCAAACCTCCTGAACTCTGATACTGGCCATAAGGGGGGCAAAGAGGGGGAAACAGAGGACAAAAAGAAGCAAGGAGAATCAGGAACACTGGCAGGGAGGGAGGCGGAAAAGAAGGCCGAGGGCCAACATTACCATCTTGATGTACAGCATGTAGTTCGGGTCTTGGGCGTAGGAGCCGTATTCATTCTCCACTTGCACAGCGATGATTGGACCCCCTTTCTTGTACTAGAGAGGGGAGAAGGCAACATTAGCTAAGCATCAGTGTCAGGAAGACCTAAGCCCAATACAAAGAGTTACTCAAGTGGAGAGGCGATGGCTTGATGGGTGAGCATCCGCTTGGCGTGCAGAAGGTCCCCGGTTCAATCCCCAGCACCCCCAGTTAAAAGGACCAGGCAGCAGGTGACATGAAAGACCTCTTCTTGAGACCCTGAAGTACCACTGCCAGTCTGAGTAGACCAGGGTTGACCAAACTTGCTTAACATAAGAGCCACATAGAATAAACGTCAGATGTTTGAGAGCCACAAGAGATGAACAAGTATTGCTCGTTTTTACTGGGAAATATGCAGATTTGCTTTTAATGAGACTGCCACAAATAACAAAAGCGGTAAAAGCAGATATTGATAATGATGTTTATTTGTCCAATGATATTTGTTTGCTAATGATACTTCGCTTCCCCAGCTGCCCTGTCGGGAGCCGCACAACATGTGTGGAAGAGCCGCATGCGGCTCCTGAGCCACCGTTTGGCCACCCCTGGAGCAGACAATACTGACCTTGATGGACTGTCAGCAAGCTGCCAAAGGTTCTTTTCTACATGTATATGGTCACCCATTAGGTTTCCCCCCCCCTCCGTAGATGTGTTTGCCTGATCATGCGCACATCTCCCCAGTAGCCATGCATTCCTTTCAGAGTACGCCAGTCCTGCTTTGATGTAACGCTATCTCGCCAAGGCCACAGGTGGAAGAGCAGAGGAGCTTGCTTGGGCTTTAATTAGCAGAAGCCGTGGGAATAGCATATCTATTTACAATTAGGTAGCCGTTGCTTTCCCAAGGTTTAGGCGCGCATGAGATGCCTTGGCCACGCGCGGGAACCATGTTTATTGGCTGTTATGATTATGAACTTGCTTTAACCTTTCATGCCTCTTGGGTTTTCGTTATTCTGAACAGTGACCCTGTTCATGTGCTTTATGGCTTCAATAAAGTAAAACCTTCTTGCAAGTGTGTACTACATTGTTTGTTGTGGGGACCTGACACAGACCAATGGTCTAGTTTAGTATACAGTGGCTTCATGCGTTCACCTGGCATATTTTGGGGACGAGCTGCGGCTCAGTGGAAGAGCCTCTGCTTTGCACGCAGAAGGTCCCAGGTTCAATTCCTGGCATCTGCAGTATCGGGTGTTGAGTGATGGGAAAGACCTCTGCCTGAGATCCTGGGGAGCTACTGCCAGTGAGAGTAGACAATGCTGAACCTGATGGACCGAGGGTCTGATTCAGTGGAAGGCGGCTTCATGAGTTCATAAATAATAATAATAATAATCTTTCGATTTATTAATCACTCAATCCTGCAGAGCTTGCTGGCTCTGAGTGATTTACAGTTACTCCAATACACACGGGACTAACAATGATTCAAGGGGTAAGGGAGGACAACTCATAATCTTTAAATCACACACGTTCACAGCCGGCGGGGAGTTTGTTCAGCTGTAAGGTCAGACGTATTCCAACGGCATTTTTCCCTCAGCGTGGCTTGATGTCGTCAGCTTTCTCCAGACTGCTTCACGTTGCAGCGCAGCACTGCCACCACCTGGCCGGATGGCCCATTACAGGCTTCCTTGATGCCGAAGAGTTCTTTCTAGGCTTTTCGGTCTTACGCACTAGACATTCCGTTTGTCGGCTAACACCTCCCCCACCGGGGGGGTTTAGTGTGCCCACCCTCTCTAAGGAGTGGTACCCATTTTATCTACTCGCCGAAGCTTTCGGACCGCTGGGTGGACGGCGAGCTGGGGACAAGGCTGGTAGCTCACACCAGCACGGGGCTAGAACTGACAGCAGCTCTGTTCAGCTCAGATGTATTAACCAGAGGATAAATCCCCTGTGCCACCGCTCCCCTTATCATTATTCATGAGAAGAGGCGGCTAATATGGGTCAGTTATGTTTCCCCCCCTCCTTCCTCCAAGGAGGTCACTAAAATATGAACATTAGGAACCATCTAAGGAGCCCTTGAAAGCACAGCATGTATAAAAGTCATACCATTGTACTGTTTATTGGCGTAACGTATCAGACTGCCTCACACTCCATCAGACCACGGGCCCATGCAGCTCCTGGCAGTGGGTCTAGCAGGACCTCAACACACACGTTCCTGGAGATTCTATCAGTAAGTGGCTCCCAACCGTTTGGGTTATTATTATTCTGCGGTGAAGTCACAGCTGAATTATAGCGATCCCATATGGTGTTTTTAAGCAAGAGATGGTCAGAGGTGGTCTGCCATGGCCGGCCTCTGTATAGCAACCCTGGGCTTCCCGTCCAAATACTCACCAGGGTCAACCATGCTTATCTTCCAGGATCTGATGAGATCTAGCTTGGGCTTTCCAGGTCAAGGTTACGGGGACCCACACGTCCAAATTCACTTAAAGCTAAAATGCGCTTTCAAGTTACAACTGATTCGCAGTGTCCCCCACGAAGTTCTGACCACGTGGGGTTTCCAAGGGAAGAGCTGAGCAGGAGTGGCTTCCCACTGCCTTCCTCTGCACAGCAGCCCTGGACTTCCTTGGTGGTCTCCCATCCAAGTACCGACCACGCTTGGCTTCCAAGCTCTGACAAGACTGGGCTAGTCTGGGCCAGTGATCCCTCTAAGCTGAGTTAGTGTGAGTTAGCGCCAGGGGTCATTTCCTGCAGGAGCGCACAGGAGCGGAGCTCCGGCAGTAAAGAGCCCAGGGGGCGGGCACATGCAACAAGCCCCACCCCCTGCTCCCAGCAGTCCTCGGTCAGAGCAAGAAGCAGCCAGGTAAGTTGCAGAGCTCTCCCCGTCCCCCCGGTCCAAAACAGTCCAGTAGCACCTTTAAGACCAAGTTTTATTCAGGTAGAAGCTCTGCATGTCCCCATTCCCCCCCCCCCATAGCTAGCAATCCAAAACAGTCCAGTGGAGCCTGAGCGGCGGGTGTTGCCTTCTGACGCACTTCCGGTGATGTCAGGGGGTGTGGCATATGCAAATAAGGTATGCTAATGAGTTATGCTAATGAGCTCCTGCATCTCTTTTCCTACGAAATGACCCCTGGTTAGCGCACACTTTTTTAGCTTCCAGCTCACAGATTTTTTTGTCTTTGCCCAGGAAGGATGGCTCCAGAGCAAACTAGAAGGCTGGCTCTAGAGCAGCAGCCAAATTGCTCGCTCGCAACTTTAAGGCCAGCAGCTCACAAAGTAGAGTTTTTGCTCACAAGACTCCACGGCTTAGAGGGAAGCATTGGTCTGGGCTACCACTTAAAACAAACAGAGCGTGCACAGATCAGTCAAACTGCAAATGCCGGGGACCCACTTCCACAGGCTTCGTGACCCGCTTTTTGGTCAGGTTGGAAAGTGCTGCTTTAAGTAGAAACGCTGGGGATCGAACCCAAGGGCCTCGCCACCCAAGTCCGGCTCCCCTTCCTAATCTGGGCCTCACAGCAATTGATGCAAATGCGTTTCAAATTTGTTTGTGCAGAGAACAAAAGATCACCAGCCTCACAGAGTTGAAAAAGTGTAAAACTCACTGTGCTGCAGGAAGCACATTCCAGCACCGTTCCAAATCCCCAAACAAAACGAGGAGAGCTTTCCCTTATTGATACAGAAAGTGAACTGATGTGTCCGCAAAGATAGATCCAGGTGGGCGGCCGTGTTGGTCCGAAGCAGTAGGACGAACTTTGGTGTCCAGTAAGGCACCTTTAGGACCAACAAAAGTTTATTCAAGGTATGAGCTTTCGTGTGTAGGCACACTTCCTCAGATACACTGATGTATCTCCATAAGGTAAAAAGGTAAAGGTTCCCTTGCTCGAAAGCCAGTCGAATCTGACTCAAGGGTTGCGGTGCTCATCTCCGTTTCAAAGCCGAAGAGCCAGCGCTGTCTGAAGACGTTTCCGTGGTCATGTGGCCGGCATGACTAAACACCAAGGTGCACGGAACGCTGTTACCTTCCCACCAAAGTGATACCTATTTATCTACTTGCAATTTCTTGCTTTCGAACTGCTAGGTTGGCAGGAGCTGGAACTAGAGACGGGAGCTCACCCCGTCTTGCGGCACCCGGGTCTCGAACTGCTGAACTACTGACCTTCCACATCCTGCAGTTCAGCGTCTTAACCACTTGAGCCACCGCAGCTCCAAAAAGTTGTATGCTAATTTGCTGTTCACCTATGTAGAGGCATCTGCCTATATATATGGACTATTAACTTCCATGTATCTGAGGAACTGTTTTCAGTTGCCCCAGAAGCTCAGATCAGAACCAATGGGTTGAAATGAAATCAAAAGAGTTTTTGGTTAAACATTAGAAGGAACTTCTTGATAGAGTGGTTCAGTGGAACAGGCTTCCTCGGGAGGTGGTGGGCTCTCCTTCTTTGAAGGTTTTCAAACAGAGGAACGGTGTGTGTGTGTGTGTGTAGGGGGGAGGTATTTGTGAATTTCCTGCATTGTGCAGGGGGTTGGACTAGATGACCCTGGAGGTACCTCCCAACTCTATGATTTTATGATTCTAAGTGTGCACGCACCCAAAAGCTCATACCTCGAATAAAAAATTGTCAGTCTTAAAGGTGCCGCTGGACTCAACATTTGTTCCGATGCACCCACAAGGCAGCCCATACCAATGGAAGCTCAAACAGACTCAGAGAAAGTCGAACCAAAACAGAGCTGCCCTTTCCAGCAAAAGAAGGAGAAGAAGAGGGTGGCCCATAGAAGCCATTAAAAAAAATTAATTTACACACCCCCATCCTCTCCCCACTGGGGACGCAGGGAGGCTTACGATGTTTAAAGTACAATAAAAGAGGCAGTGCCCACTTTCAACAGAGGTAATTTGCAACAGCATGCAGAGGAGTCCAGTAGCACCTTTAAGACTAACAACCTTTATTGTAGCATAAGCTTTCGAGAAACACAGCTCTCTTCATCAGGTGCATGGAGGGTTTCTTCACACCCTCCATGCATCTGACAAAGAAAGCCGTGTTTCTCGAAAGCTTATCTCCCTTATAAATAAAAGCCGAATGGTGGTGGCACTTCTCTAGAACATTCCACACGCTCCAAAATCAGTTCGCTCTCTGATCTGTCATTCAGACGTTCTCCCTATCCACTGGCTGCTTTGCCTGAGTCCTGCCTCCAACATTCTAAACATTTTGCTGTTCCTCTTCCCACCATAGCCAGTCAGAACACAGAGGTTATCTGCATATGCAGCCTCATTGGCCTTTGCCTCAGAACACAGAGGTCGTTTGCATATGCGACTTGATTGGCTTTTGCCTCTAACATTCTAAACAGTTTGATGTTCTGAGGTAAAATGTGTCCAATCTCCAGGTGAGGGCTGGAGATCACTCAGAATTACAACTGCTTTCCAGATGTCAGAGATCAGTTCCCCTGGAGAAAATGGTGGGCTCTGTATCCTTATATGCTGCTGAGGTGGCCCCCGTATGACAGCCAATGTGACGTAGCAGTCAGGGCTTCAGAGCATGGGAGAGGCTGCAGATGTGTGAGGGGTGGAAAGCTGAAGGGTTAGGGGGAAATAAAGGTAGGTTGATGGTTGGCTGGGAAGGAGATAGGGTTGCCAACTCCAGGTGGGAAATTCCTGGAGAGGTGAGGGATGGAGCCTGGAGAGAGTGAGGTTTCAGTAGGCGTGGGACCTCGGACAGGTACAAAGCCATAGACTCCACCCTCCAAACCAACTATTCCCTTCTGGGGAACCATCGTTGCCATTCTCCAGGTGAGGGCTGGAGATCACTCAAAATTACAACTGTTCTTTAGGTAGCAGAGATCAGTTCCTCTGGAGAAAATGGTGGACTCGGTGTCATTATACCCTGCTGAGGTCGCCACAGCAAATTGACACTGAGTGTCCAAGGCCGGGGCACCCACCCAGAGCCTCTTTCTAGAGACCGTTGTATTTATTTCCACAACGGGCCTTTTTCCTAGTGCTACAATAAAGGTTGTTAATCTTAAAGGTGGTACTGGGCTTTTTTTACTATTTTGCAGCAACAGGCTAACACGGCTAACTCCTCTGGATCTATGAGTATGCAGACGGTGATCCCTTCCCTCTGGTGGAACAGAATCCTGCTGCAAGTCGTGAGGCAGATCGCTGCGCCAGCCGGTGCTAGAGGAGGCGATTCACAGCACAAGACCCAGCAGGATTCCTCCACCTCGCCTCGCAAGCATGTGGCCAAGGGAGGAGGAGGAGGAGGAAGTGGTCATAACTTCACAGCAAAAGATGTTTTTCACCCCCCTCGGGAAGCATGGAGAAAATCCCCCTGGCCCCCAAGAAACGACATGACAAACTGTGGGGAACCCCCTCCCACCAAAAAAAAAACCTCACAAAAATTTCTGGGCAGCTCTGACAACAACCTACATGACAACCAGACTCGGCAGCGACAGCGAGACACTTCCTCGCCTACGTACCTGGAGAGGAACCACTTTGCGCATCAGGTGATCGAAGTACGCATCCACGGCCTCCGTGAAACCCTGGTAGGTTGTCCTCAGCTGCATGCCGGGGTCTTGGAGCAGCCAGCTGAAGAGGGGAAAGGGTGCGTGAGGAGGACGACAACCAGAACTTGGGAAGGAAGGAATCAAATGGGCATTCCCGGGCAGGCCACCCTGTCCTGCAAGGATTTCCTCTGGAACCAAGCCCAGAGGCTTTTCTCACTTCCCCAGGATGTTTTGCTGAGTTTCTAACAAGTTCGTCTCTCCCTGCTGCTCCTGAGACTGCATTCCTCGTGACGATTTGGTCTAGCAGAGGTAAGAGACCGCCCAGTGGGTTGTAGTGTCAAAGAAGAAGAAGAAGAGATTGGGTTTACACCCTGCCCTTCACTTGGGAGTCTCAGAGCGGCTTACAAACCCCTTTCCCTTCCCCTCCCCACGACAGACACCCTGTGGGGTAGGCAGGGCTGAGAGAGCTCTTTTCCAGAACTGTCCTTCAGAGAACAGCTCTGACAGAACTGTGGCTTGCCCGAGGTCATCCAGCAGCTACAAGTGGAGGCGGGGGGAATCAAACCTGGTTCTCCAAGAGTAGAGTCCGCACACTTAACCACGACACCAAAGAAGATCGTTTCAGAGGTAGCTGTGTTGGCCAACCGCAGAAGAGCGAGAGTCGAGCCCAGTAGAACCTCAGAGACCGACAAGGTTTTCGGGAGATGAGCTTTGACTCTTGAAAGCTCAAAACCCCCAAAACCTTGTTGATCCCTAAGGTGCTGATGGACTTGGATCTAGCTCTTCGGGGTCCTAGAATCAGAAGGGGGGCCTCGTACGCCATCTAGTCCATCTCCCCCGGCTCCGTGAAGGAAATCTGAAGCTTCTATCAACACGGGGCTGTCCGTTCTGCGACTGAAGACTTCCAGCAAGGGAGAGTTGACCGCCACCCGGCGGCACGAGTTCCATTGTCAAACCACCCCCGTAGTTAGTAAGTTTCTTCTAATGGTCGACCAAAATTTGGTGGTGGTGGAAAGCGCCATCCAGTTGCGGGTGACTCCTGGTGGGCCCTTGTGGGGTTCTCAAGGCAAGAGATAAAAAGAGGTGGTTTGCCATGGCCTGCCTCTGTGTAGCAACCCCGGGCTTCCTTGGTAGCCTCCCAGCCAAGTACTAACCAGGGCCGACACTGCTTAGCTTCCGAGATCTGACGGGACCGGGCTAGTCTGGGCTATCCAGGTCAGGGGAGCCGGAATCTACCTTGCTTTTATTCAAACCTATAGGATCTAGTTTCGCCCTCTGGAACAGCAGAGAACACCTTTGTGCCCCCCTCCCAGGGGACAGCCCTCTCAGGTATCTGAAGATGGCAATAATGTCCTCTCTCCTCCAGGCTATACAGACCCAGTTTGTTTGGGGGTCCCCACAAAACATTAGTTGCTGACCAGGAACGGTAGAGAAGTATCTGGAAAAGTGCATGTAAGTTTCTGTTGAAGGCTTAGAAGCTGGGGGAGGAAGGGCTGGGGCCAGAGGAGCATCTGCTCCACGCAGACCAACACTGAGGCTGATTTCGCACGAGGAGCCGCGCCGCCGTCACGCCTCCCCTTGCCCCGTTTCCATTGCTCGATTTCCTACTCGAAGCCGCGTGGCCGTATTTTGACCCGCGGCTTCGCCTGATTTCCCCCACGGTTTTGTGATCCTGTTTTTTGAGGATCACGAAACTGCGAGGGAAATCGGGTGAAGCCGCGGGTCTGAATGCGGCCACGCGGCTTCAAGTGGAAAATTGACCAATAGAAGCGGGGCAAAGGGAGGCGTGACCGCGGCGCAGCTCTTGTGTGAAATCGGTCTGAGTATTATTGCAGTCTGTATTTATTAGTAGTAGTAGTAACATTATTATTGCTGTCAAGACATAGCTGACTCATCATGACCCCATAAGGTTTTCAAAGCGTTTGGAGGTGGTTGGCCATTGTCTGCCTCTGCATAGCGACCCTGGACTTCCTCAATGGTCTCCCATCCAAATATTGCCCAGGGCTGACCCTGCTTAGCTTCGAACAAGGAGATTGGACATACCCCACCCTTCACTCGGAGTCTCAGAGCGGCTTACAAACCCCTTTCCCTTCCCCTCCCCACAATAAACACCCTGTGAGGTAGGTGTGGCTGTGAGAGAGCTTTCCAGAACTGTCCTTGAGAGAACAGCTCTGAGAGAACTATGGCTTGCCCAAGGTCATCCAGCAGCTACGAGTGGAGGAGTGGGGAATCAAACCCGGTTCTCCCAGATTAGAGTACCATCCAATACTTCCTCTAACTTCCCCCCCCCCCTACTGAGCGGAGCAGTTCGTATCCTGAGCAGAACTGCTGTAATCTTAAAATGAGTGATGGGCAGTGCAAGACCCTACGCAGCTCTAGACTGCTGATGAGCCGGGCTTCCTGTGTTAAGGAGTGGCCAGCACCCATGCGCACAGCTGAGAGGGAACAGGGGTCCCATCCTTTGACTCCCGCTTGTCTTCCTCCCACACTGCGATTTCACCTAAGATTGCCCACGTATGCAGAAGCCCATCTTCATAGGTAAGGTGCCACAGGGAGAAGCTCTGTGCCAGGGCATTAAACAGTACAAAGGAAAAACTGAGCAGCCTATAATGATATTGAGAAAAACAGACCCACAGAACAGGCACACAAGTGAATGTTTCGACCTGGCAGCTAAAAGAACGGAAGGGAGGGGGGCCGGGTGAGCCTCAAGGAGGAGGGCAATTTCTAAGGTGAGGTGCCATCACCAAAAAGGCCCCGTCTCCGGTTGCCACCTGCATCACCTCTGGCAGGTGGCAGAGAGGGCAGGGCTTCAGAAAAGAACATTTTGCAACCTGGGTGAAAGTAGGTTGAGACAAGGGGGTGCAGCAGACTGGAAAGGGAGCAAAAAGCAGATGGGGCCAGTGTTCCCTCTAAGCTGAGTTAGTGTGCGCTAGCTCAGTTTTTTAACCTCCGGCTCACACATTTTTGCCTTAGCTCAGGAAGGACGGCTCCAGAGCAAACTAATTTATGCAGCAGCCAAATCGCTGGCTCACAACTTTAATGCCAGTAGGTCACAGAGTAAAATTTTTGCTCACAAGACTCCACAGCTAAGAGGAAGCGTTGGATGGGGCGTCCTTTGAAGGCGGAGGTGGTTGCAAGCAAAAGTAGGTCTGAGGAGGAAAGGGAAGATGGGCAGACATGGCCTGATTTTGTAAGTTTCAGGTGGGCAGCTGTACTGCTCTATAACAGAAGACCTAGATTTGAGGCCAGGAGCACCTCAGAGAGGTTGACAAGATTTTCAGGATGCCAGCCAGTTTGGTGTAGTGGTTAAGTGCACGGACTCTGATCTGGGAGAACCGGGTTTGATTCCCCACTCCTCCACTTGCAGCTGCTGGATGACCTGGCGCAAGCCATAGTTCTGACAAGAGCTGTTCTTGAAAAAGAGCCGTTTCTTTCAAGAGCTCTTTCAGCCCCGCCTGCCTCACAGGGTGTCTGTGGTGGGGAGGGGAAGGGAAAGGAGATTGTAAGCCGCTCTGAGACTCCCTTGGGTAGTGAAGGGCAGGGTATAAACCCAATCTCTTCTCTTCTTCTCTTCTCTTCTAGAGTCAAAGCTCCCTTTGACAGGTACGACAATGAAGGAAGCTTTGACTCTCGGAAGCTGGCATCCCGAAAATCTTGTTGGTCTCTTGTTGGTCCTACTGGACTCAACTTCTGATCTTGTTGGTTCCTCTGTACAGAGGGCTTTAGGATCCAATTGGTCTGGAGAGCCTCATTTTAAATAGGCAAGCCATACCAAAATGGCAGGGAAGGCTGGGTATCTCTGTTATGAACAAACCAAAATAACACAATCGCATTCAATTAGAACTGTTTGGGGCCATTCCTTGCAAAGGAAGAGAGAAGGTGGGAGCGGACAGGAGCTGCAATGGAGATGGAATTAAAAGGCGGAATTCCCTGCCAGAGGATGTAGTGATGGCCACAGGAATAAACAGCTTTAAAAGGGGATTAGATAGATTCATGGAGGATGACTCTATTGTGGCTACTAGCCATGGTGACTGAGGGGAACCTCCACATTTAGAGGCACTAAGCCTCTGAATCCCAGAGCCAGGAGGCAGCATCAGGGGAAGGCCTCGGCCTCTCTGCCCTGTTGCTGGCCCTCCAGAGGAACAAGCTGGCTACTGTGTGAGACAGGATGATGGACTAGATGGACCACTGGTCTGATCCAGCAGGGCTCTTCTGATGTCCTTATGAAGGCCTTGGCCTCTATGCCCTGTTGTGGGCCGTCCAGAGGTACTAGCTGGTCACTTTGTGAGACAGGAGGCTGGACTAGATGGACCACTGGTCTGATCCAGCAGGGCTCCTCTGATGTCCTTATGAAGGCCTCGGCCTCTCTGCCCTGTTGTTGGCCCTCCAGAGGAACCAGCTGGCCACTGTGTGAGACAGGAGGCTGGACTAGATGGACCACTGCTCTGATCCAGCAGGGCTCCTCTGATGTCCTTATGAAGGCCTCGGCCTCTCTGCCCTGTTGTTGGCCCTCCAGAGGAACCAGCTGGCCACTGTGTGAGACAGGAGGCTGGACTAGATGGACCACTGCTCTGATCCAGCAGGGCTCCTCTGATGTCCTTATGAAGGCCTCGGCCTCTATGCCCTGTTGTTGGCCCTCCAGAGGAACTGGTTGGCCACTGTGTGAGAGAGGATGCTGGACTAGATGGACCACTGGTCTGATCCAGCAGGGCTCCTCTGATGTTCTTATCAGGGGAAGATGTCATACTCTATGCCCTGTCGTTGGCCATCCAGAGGAACTGGTTGGCCTCTGGGTGAGACAAGATGCTGGACTAGATGGACCACCAGTCTGATCCAGCAGGGCTCTTCTGATGTTCTTATCAGGGGAAGATGTCATACTCTATGCCCTGTCGTTGGCCATCCAGAGGAACTGGTTGGCCTCTGGGTGAGACAAGATGCTGGACTAGATGGACCACCAGTCTGATCCAGCAGGGCTCTTCTGATGTTCTTATCAGGGGAAGATGTCATACTCTATGCCCTGTCGTTGGCCATCCAGAGGAACTGGTTGGCCTCTGGGTGAGACAAGATGCTGGACTAGATGGA